TCATCCCTAAGAATACTTGCTAAGGCATGATAGAAAGTGCAAAGCTATCCTCCGGGTCTGGAGGAGAATGACCGAAGGAAAGGTGTGAAGCCAAAAGCAAGAAGTAAAGGGATAGAACCGATCCATAGGAATCAAAAGGCATAACCAAGGTTGGTTATGCCAGCTGGGAGTGGAGAATCAAGTGGGGGCTCGAGGGTGTTGCCGCTAGCAACCGTGATGCCATGGAGAGTCTAAAATATGGAATTGTCCATGTTAGACTATATGGCAATTGGAAAGCTTGCGAAAGGAGAGGCCTTAGCAAGCTAAAGGGACAGAGTTCCTTCGAAAGGTTCCCAAAGACAATTCGAGGTAATTGGATACCTAGAAAGCCAAGTGTAAATGGTTCATAGAACGCGCGAAATCAGAGTGGCGCAGCAGAAGCGTGGTCTTGAAGCTTGCCATGAGGCGAGGCTATCAAGGTTTGGGAAGTAGTCCCCGAGTGTTCAAAGAGAGGGCTTTGAACGAAAGTTGATGGTTAAGGACTTTCACGCTTATGCATGAACCATGTTACAGTGGCCGGATGACTTGCTAAGTGAAATTGGCAAGTCGAAGGGAACAAATACCCTAGTTGAAGGTGCTAACTTCAAAAAAGGGTGGCCCATGGGGCCAAGCATGGAGGAGTCCATGCATGATCACAGACATGTCAAGTGAGAGGACTTGGCAGTGTGGAGGAACTAGGTTCCTAAGCTGTGATCTGTAGCGCGCTTTAAAAATAGGTTGGTGCACCGGCGTGAGGAGTCACGCCAGGCATCCGGTGTGATGCCGTCCGTAGCTGCATATACGGAGGTTGGGTTCGAGTCCCGACCCTCTAGTGCTTGGGTTCGAGTCCCAAATCACTAGGGCGTGGTGATGGTTTGGAATATGAGGACACTCATATTTCGGTGGTCATGGACTCTCAGTGGGGAGACTGGTTTGGGCACACCGCCAAGCGAGGGATGCCTCGGAGTCGTGATGCACGGTTAGATTGCTTAGTGTGAAAGCTTAGCATATCTAACTTGAACGCTTTGGTGCAAGTGGCACCAAGGTCGTGGTGAGTGAGATGGGGACACCTAATCTCAGTTGCTATGAACCCTTGGCCGTAAGGGCTGGCTTGGGTGCACCGCCAAGTGTGGGGGATGCCCTCGGGGTTATAGTCAACAACTTGGAGGTCTAGAAGACCAAGTACCTCTTGGCAACTCTGTTAAGGTGCCAAGGTGAGATCACTAGGTGATTTTATGGCCAGATAAGGACAAGGTCCTTGGTTGGCTAAGGAATGAAGTTCCTGGTTCAAAATGTTGGAATTGAACTGTTTAAGGTGGTGTGGCTTGGTCGTGATGACCAAGTGGGAAGAGCACCTAAGGGAAATAAACTATGTCCGTGCGATGGCATAGTGAGTCCGAGGAAAGTAGTCTCTATAAAAGACCCATGGGAGGGTCACGAAGTTGGGCCGTGGATAGAGCCCATAGCAGAAGATGCTAAAGAGACGTACTAGGGGTGAACATCCTCCGGACTTGGCAAAGAAGAGTCTTTGCTATGGAACTGAAACAATACCTCAAGAAGGGAGGTAGAGATTCGATGTTGCTTGGTGCAACAATCAACGGATAGGAGCAAAAGATGAGTGGCCAAGATAGGGCCGTGGAATCCCTTGGAAGGAATCCAAGTGACAAAGTTAGGCGAGGAACACTAATGTGTTGGACGCTAACAAGTTGCGGGAAAGGAAGTGTGTTTCCAAGGAGGGATTCCGAAATGCTCCGATTTGGCGAAAGTGGAAGCTCCAAGGGAGGGAGCGGTAAGGTAGCCAAATGATAGGGCCATGAACAGCCCTAGCACAAAGTATGATAACTGGAACTTTGGCATGAAATAGAAGAGAGGATGATGGTGCCCTCGAGTAGAGAACTTCCTAGGATGGGAAGTGGAGTTGCACAAAAAGGTGCAAGGCAAGGTGTCGGAGACACCTAGGAAATTGACTCCAAGAAGTCAAAATTCAAAGTTCCAAAGTGCAAATGTTATATCGATGGAAATCGAGACTACTCGAGAAGGAGTAGTGGGATTGACTTGGAGAAGGGTCTCTAAGAGGTTTAGCGAGAACTAAACCAATAAAAGGAGAGAACCTCTACATGTGGTCCAATCAATCTCTAAGTTGGAGAGACTACCCTCCTTAGAGGATAGGCAAGGCATGGTGAGCCTTTGGTGTCAAACCATGGAGGCCTATGCAAAAGGCATGGTGAGCCTTCAATGTTAAACCATTGACGAATATGGAGAAGGCATGGTGAGCCTTCAATGTCAAACCATTGACAAATATTGGCTAGGTGCCAAGGATGGAAATGGTAACACACGCGAGTGTTACTTTACAAAATGGTTTACCGTTCGATGAGGACATCGAACTTCGTCTATGGGTGGTGGAGTTGTGAGACACAAAATCCCTAGGCCCCAAAGTGGAGCCGGAAGGGCGCCACGTGGTAGTGGCCGAAGCGAGAGCCAAACGAGCGTAACACGTTTGGACCAAAAGCTCCGACTTGAAAAGTCAAGAGCGGGAGTGGAACTCCCAACGAAGTGCTCGAGGAACAAGCACGAAGCGAGCAAAAAGCAAGGCTCCAAAAAGGGACCCAAAAGGACCAACACATGACACGTGGAAGTGTCCGAGATGGACCCGAGTTGGAGTCCGAAGTGGAGTCCGAGATGGACCCGAGTTGGAGTCCGAAATGGAGTCCGAGATGGACCCGAGTTGGAGTCCGAAATGGAGTCCAAGATGGACCCGAGATGGAGTCCGAGATGGACCCGAGATGGAGTCCGAGATGGACCCGAGATGGAGTCCGAGATAGACCCAAGATGGAGTCCGAGATGGAGTCCGAGATGGACCCGAGATGGAGTCCGAGATGGACCCGAGATGGAGTCCGAGATGGAGTCCGAGATGGAGTCCGAAGTCGAGACCGAGACCGGGACCGAGACCGAGACCGAGACCGAGACCGAGATCGGGACCGAGACCGAGACCGAGGCCGAGGCCGAGACCGAGCCCGAGCCCGAGTCCGAGTCCGAGTCCGAGTCCGAGTCCGAGTCCGAGTCCGAGTCCGAGTCCGAGTCCGAGTCCGAGTCCGGAGCCTGAGAGGGTGAAAGCCCAAAGCGTTCGTCTCCCAGACCCTGGGGGGTTTGGTGAGCTCCAAAAGTATAGTAGGGGGAGGACTGCAGTGGAGCCAGTTTGGCCAGGAAAGGCCAGTTTGGCCCAGGAAGGCCGGACCCAGTGTTGGGTGATGAGCTGCCCACTGGGAAGTCCAAGACTAGAGTGAACACAGACCGACAAGCGGGGTAGCTTGGTGAAGTGTTCAAGAGCCGGCTCTAGTTCCCCCGGGAGATCGACTGGCCGATGCTCCCAGTCCAAGTGTGGGTGGCACTACCTACTTGGATACCTGGTGTGGCTCAACGGAACCCGCTCTAAGCCCATGGCTAGAGCACCTAAAGGCGAAAGGCGAGGAGAGTACCCAGGTGGCTCGCGTAAGGCCACGGTGTTCCGAAATGTTGTCCCGAAGGCCCAGACTGTGGAAAGGAAGAGGAACAGTCCTCTGGGGTAGTGACCAAGGACACAGTCGTGTGGTGAGGAAGTCCCAGAGGACCGTGGGACTTAGTGGTCGGGCCTGTGGGTCTCGATCCAGTGGCAGTGTTGGCAAACATGGCCAGGGGCAAAAAGGGACTTAGTGGGAACTGACAGAGGGATATTGGGGAAGGTTATTCCCCTTGTCGGTGGGCATCCTAAGGATGCTAAGGAGTGGATTTGAGATGACCACTCACGGATGGTTTGCCTAGTCTTGGAGAGCCAAGACTGTGATGCAAGTGGTATTGGACTACCAGTGTGGCAAAGGTGCCTTAGCGTAACGGGCTGCCATGTCGGTGGTACCTTTGAGTGTCGGTCATGGGATCGGACACGTGGAGCACTTGGACCAAGTGCAAATGTTGAGGGGCATGGATGCCCTTCTCGGGGCTAGCAAGTCCCAAGTCCTGGATTGGACTTATGGAGGTTGTGAATGAGACTCCTCCAAGTGGTCGGAAGTGTGGTTAAGTGACTAAAGTAGAATGGAAAATTTAGTCGCTTACAATATGGCAAGAGGAAATTCAAGAAGAGTTTCTCTAAGAATGAGTCCTCAAGGTTCCTGAAAGGCAAATCTGGTGGCCAACAAGCAAGTACATGGGGGAGTCAAGCAAAAAGAGACAAACCCACGGATAAAAAGGTCAAGTCTGCTAGTAGCATGGGAAATAACGTATGCTTCAACTGCAGTGAAGTGGAACACTCTTTGAGGGAATGTCCATATCCGAAGAAGGCCAGAGCCAAAATGGCCATTAAGTCAGGTGAAATCCAAACTAAGATACGTGATCCAATTCCTAGCTCAAAGTTACTCATTACACGAGCAACTTTGGTAAAGAGTTGTTCACGATAGCTACTAACCCTTCGAGCGAAGCTCGCGGGTAGCTTTGTTAAAATCTTTATTGACACGGGTGTTTCGGATAATTTTGTGGCTATAGACATAGTCTAGTAAGCCAGACTAATGGTGCAGTGGTTGGGTGAATCAAGGATTATATATTTTGTTCAAGGTAGCCAAAACACTGATGAGGTACTTCGACAAGCAAGAGTCGAAGTAGGGATATGGAAAGTAGACATGGATTTCACCATGTTGGATATGGCAGGATTTAATGTAATCTTTGGGATGGATTGGTTCAATCGATTTGTCATAGCCCTGCATGGACAAAGTAGAAACCTTGTGGTATTGGTGAATGGCCGAGGAGAATGATCCAGGGTGGAGGCTTAGGATCTAAAGGTAAGGCAATGTAAGGCCAAAGACTCTTGTTTGAACCTGGTGTCCACAAGAAGACAACTCACTAAAGGAACTAAGGCACCATTTCTGTGCTTATTCTCAATGAGGAGTGATAAAAAGACAGGATCAAAAGAAGTGCCTTTGGTGATCCAGCAGGTCTTGGATCAATTCCAAGATACCATGCCGGAGGAGCTACTGGTGGGGTTACCCCCTGAACAACCAATAGGACATAAGATTGAGCTAGTCGAGGGTGCTAAGGCAGTGGTTTGTCCCCCCTATTGGTTGAACGAAAAGGACCTTAAGAAGCTCAAACGCCAACTTGAGGAGTTGGTGGAAAAAGGGTATGTTAGGTTGAGCAAGTCACTGTATGGTGCACTAGTGTTATTTGTGAAAAAGAAAAATGGATCTATGCGTATATGTATAAGCTACCAGTTGCTCAACAATTATGCAAAGAAGAACAAATACTCTTTACTAAGGATTGAGGACTTATTCGATAAGTTAGGAAACGCAAAATATTTTTCGAGGATCGACCTAAGGTCAGGATACTACCAGATCAGGGTAGCAGAGGAAGATGTCGAGAAGACAACTTGTTGAACAAGGTATGGAAGCTTCGAGTTTCTAGTAATGCCCTTTGGGCTATGCAATGCACCAGCTCCCCTATTGGTGTTACCAGACTTTGGTAAGGATTTTGAGGAAGAAACGGATGCTTTAGATTTTGCATTGGGCATAGTGTTGAAGCAAAACAACCATCTAGTAGCATTCTTCTCGAAGAAGTTGGCCAAGGTTTAGCAGAAGTGGCCTGCCCACGAGAAGGAATTGTTTGCGGTGGTCACGGCGCTCAAGGAATGGTGACACTACCTTGGGAAACACTTCAAATTTTACATGGATAATATAGCAACGAAATACTTCTTGTTACAACCTGACCTAAGAGGGAAACAAGGTTGGTGGGCTAATGCTTTGGCCGAGTTTGATTACAAGATTTTGTATAAACCTAGGAAGAGCAACATTGTGGTGGATGCTCTAAGTCGAAAAGCAAGTTTAAAGTTGGCAATATCCAGCACAAAAGTAACCTTTTGGGATGATGTGCGAATAGCATATGAGAATAATGGTTTAGCATAAGAAGTGTTGCTAAGGAACCAAGAGGCATGGGAAGCTCACCAAAGAGGTGAGTTTCCAATGGAAGAAAAAATAGCTATGTAGAATGCAATGGACTCATTTATTATAAACAAACGAGGGTGTATGTTCCAGAATGGAAATTAAGGAAGGTAGCCTTAGAAGAATGTAATGACAAACCTCTTGCAAAACATGGCAGAGTGCCCAAGACGATAGGCTTACTCAAGAGGAAGTATCACTGGCCAAATATGGCTAAGGATGTCCAAGACTATGTAAAGACATGTCCAACATGTCAACAGGTTAAAGCCGTGACTAAGGCTAGTGGGGGTTTGTTAAAAAACATCTCAATTCTAGACTATCCATGGAAATGTCTTATGATAGACTTTATCATGAGACTCCCCCTAAGTAAGGGGTTCGATGCGATATTCGTGGTAGTGAACCAATTTTCAAAGATGGCATATTTCATACTTACAACAACGGAAGTGGATGAGGAAGGGGCAAAACTGTTCTTCGAACAAATAGTTCATGTGTGGGGAAGGCCAGAAGAGATTATTTGAGATCGATGCAACGTGTATATACATTTCTCCAAGTCCCTTAGGGACTGATACAAAAAACAAGAATCCTTTAGCGCTGTTCACTCAACTACGCTGTCCTGCAATTCTCCACCTAATAATGATCGCTGCCCTCCAATCGTGGCTGCTGTGGTCGTCGCCTCCGCAGTGCATCCAGTGCCAGATTGCCACGTCGAGCCTCCTTTGTTACCGTGTCCGAAGGTCTCCATTTCCACTTGACCTCCCCCTCGTGTTCAGTTCCGTAGCACGGAGTCCATAGTCGTCGCCAAGCTGTGAGTGCCTCCCTATTTTTCCCATGCTCCTGGAGCATCGTATCCCTCAAGCGGATAGCAGCCAGTGTGAGCCTCCACCAATTCGCCATGATCGCTGAAATCCGAGCCTACTGCCCTTCGAAGTGGTTGCGGTTCTGAGCCTCCCAGAGTGCCTGTACCCCAGAAGCCCACCATACCTCCCATCTCGCCCGTCCAAGGGCCTCCCACACTGTAGTCCCAACTTCGGCGCCTACCGCGTCCCACCTAACTCGGGTGCCCCATCCTGAGCGTCCCTAACACCTGATCTTCCGCCAAGCTGCTCCTGTGCATGGTCCCCTTGCCTCTGGAAACCACTGGGTGACATCCCCTTCTCGAATTTCGAAGTCCTGCTTGTCCCCTAGTTCCCTCGTCGCTTTTGCTACCGGCCGCCACGTCTCCTTGGCCACGTCACAATCCCAGAGGAGGTGTGTGACCGTCTCCAGTTCCCCGCATTCCGGACACCTGCGAGCATTCTCCGCTTGAAATCGCTGGCCTACTGGCAGATTATTTGAGATCGAGATAAGATCCTCACTAGTACTTTCTGGAGGACTCTCCTAAAATAATATCACACCAAGTTGAAATTCAGCATAGCCTATCACCCACAGACAAGTATTGGGTATTAAGTCACATTTAGTGGCACTAACACTTCTTGACACATGGACAAGCAAAAAAGGTGAATCGGCAGCTGGAGGATTATTTGCGATGCTATATCTCCGGAGACCAAATTGATTGGGTAAGTCATTTGGGACTTGCGGAAATGTGCTTTAACAACTCACTATATTTGAGTATTGGGGTGAGTCCATGGGAAGTCATCAATGAGCAAGCTATTGAAGGTCTTGTGGAACTTGGTGTGGCCGAGTATCATGGAGAGTTACCCATAGTGGAGGCATTCACGGTGGAAAGACTCAGCATTTGGAATATAGTGAGGGATTCTTTGAAACGGGCTCAATAAAGGCAAACCAAGTATGCAAACCAGAAGCACCGGGATGTTGAGTTCCAACCTGGGAAGAAGGTGTAGTTGAACACCGAGAACTTAAGTCTACCAAGTGGGATCAGTCGAAAGTTGACCCAAAGGTAAAAATGCATGTATTCCTAGAAATGAATTGATCTTGAGTTCCTTAAGCAGGTTTGTGGGGCCTTATGAGATTGAGGCACAAATTGGTAAGGTGTCTCTTGGTCCTTGTGAAGCAGATCCTCAAAGTATGACTTCAGTAAATTCACATGAAACATATGGTGCATCCTCCCCGTCTCTCAAGGAAGTCAGAGGCAATATAAAACCTTTACCTGAGGTTATCCAAGGGGAAGAGGAAGTTGAGGCTATCCTCAATGCGCACAAGAGCAAACAATAAAGACAGGAAATGAGGGAGTTCTATGTGAAAATGAAAAAATTTTCACACTGTGAAGCAACATGGGAACCGGAGGAGAACCTAGCGAATGTGTGGGATCTAGTGGAAGAATTTTTGCAAGGTAGAACTCTATATACTTATGCAAAGTTCAATTAAAGAATCTATTTTGAGAAATTGAACAATGTCATATGTTGGGACTTGAAGGCGCACTGAAGTTAAGCTAATTAACATGGGATAGCTAGGTCGACCAGGCATAGGGAACTATACCCAACTCTCCACGGGGATGCCAAATCCGTAAACGTATTCTATGGAGGTTGGGTTTGAGTCCCAACCCTCTAGTAAAGCAAGGCTGAGTTCAAGTCCCAACCTCATACTAGGGCATCGTGAGGGGAGGGGTATAGAGACACCTATATTCCGTTGTTATGGGCTTTTGGCCGGGGAGGCTAACTTAGGCACACTGTTAAGTGAGGGGACGCCTCAAAGACATGGTCAACAAGTTGTAGGATTAAAAAGAGGCGTTCAATATGGGCATCAAGCTTCTTCTATGGGTGGTGGAGTTGTAAGGAACCAACTCCCCAAGGTGTTGAAGGCTAAATGATCCCTGAAAGTATGAGCAAAATGATAAAGAGTTCATCGGATGAGACCGAGTCCAAGATTGAGTCCGCAATTGATTCTAAGACCGAGTTCGAGACTGAGTCCGAGATCGACTTGGAGACCAAGTCCAAGATCGACTTGGAGACCAAGTCCAAGATCGACTTGGAGACCAAGTCCAAGATCGACTTGGAGACCGAGTCTGAGATTGACTTGGAGACCGAGTTCGAGACCAAGTTTGAGATCTGAGATCGGGTCCGAGACCGAGTCCAAGTTCGAGTTTGAGACAGAGTTCGAGGTCAGGTCCTAGACCAACTTGGGGACCGAGTTCAAGACAGAGGCCAAGATCAATTCCAAGACTGAGTCCGAGACTAACTTGGAGACCAAGTTCGAGACAGAGGCCGAGATCGACTTTGAGACCAAGTTTGAGATCTGAGATCGGGTTTGAGACCAAGTCTGAGATCGAGTTCGAGACAGAGTTCAAGGTCGGGTCTGAGATCGAGTTTGAGACTGAGTCCGAACGAGGTTGAGTTTGAGATTGACTACGAGATCAAGTCTGAATACTAATACAGCTCATGGGGTGAAAGCCCAAAGTGTGTGTCTCCTGAGGGGGGGCGGGGCTGCAGGGAATTCCAATAATATAGTAGGGATAGTGAGGTCTAGGAACTAGTCTTGAAAGAACTCTCTAGTGGTGTTTCCAAACTGACTTGAGGTTGAGATTGGGGCAAAAGGGCCTTGGGTGGGAGTGAGCATGGACTCAGGTGGTGCTGGAGAGGCCACCCAAGGAAGTGCTCAAGAGCAGTTCCCACTCCCGGAAGGGAAACCGACTGTGGTAGCTCATGTAGAGTGGTGCTTCACTTATACCTTGTGGCTTCTTGGTCTTTGCCCTTCCTAGGGGCTTGGGCCTTCCCTTCGGGATGGAAGTGGGGGAGTAGGGGTACCCATACCGGGTTTTTAAGCCACGGTGTTTCCACCCGGCGTCCCGAAGCAAGTGTTGCACCTAAGGCTTGGGATTTAAAGTGTCTCATGATCAAGTCTTTTTGTACTAAGGGATGTTAGAAACTTGGAGGCTTGGTGTGCTTGGCTGCTTATTCCTGCGGGGAATGTAGTTGAACCTTAAGTTTAGTCTAACCTATGGAGTGGGATTGGGAGAGATTTGGGAATTTGTGGATGGATGGCTAACACTCCAGTGCTTGTGCAATAAGTAGTTGAAATTAAGTAGGACCAAGTAGAAACTAGTATAATAAGCAGGAACCTTGGCAAAGGAACTTAGCTAAGGCCAAGGCAATGTTGGTTGGATAGACGAGATAAGCTGGCAAATTGGAAAGGAAAAATTTGTGGCTTACATTTAGTTACTCATTGCAAGAGAAATGAGCCATCCATCCACAGATTTCTAAATTTTCTTTTAATTTTCTTTTCTTAATTTTCTTTTCTTCTCTTTGGGTTAGACTATGCTTAAGGTTTGACTACACTCCCACAAACACAAATAACCAAACACACTAAGCCTCCAAGTTCCTAACATCCTTTATGTAAGTAACTAAATTTTCCATTTTACTTTAGCCACTTATCCATACTTTTGACCACTTGGAAGATTCTCACTCATGAACTCTATAATTCTTATTTTTGACTTAGGGATATACTAGCCTCGTGAATGGCATGTATGTCACTCAACCTTTGCACTTGGTCTAAGTGCTCCATATGTTTAATCCTATGATCGACACCCAAAGGTACCATTGACATATCAGCCAATTACACTAAGGCTATGCCCATTCACCCTTGTTACATTGGTAGTTCAAGACTATCTGCATCATAGTTTGTCTTTCAAAAATTGGGCCATCCATCCATGAATGGTTATCCCTTGACAACACCTTAGTGCC